AGGTGCATTAAGAAGTAGAAATACTTTATCTGTACTTCTCTGAAGAGGAGGAGAACAGGTGAGAGAGGTACAGAAAAGTATTACTACTTTGTTTAATAAATCTAATATTATGTGAAGGAACAATTAAAGAAACTTCTTGATGGTGATTCCCCTTACTAGCCTAATACCAAATGAAAGGTACAAGAAGAAAGTATTTATTAAAATGGAATCTTTATTAATTAAGAGTTCAAGTAAGCACTGAATCAAATGATTAATGAAGAATAAACATTTTGAAAATTAACATTTTTATGGAAAGTGAATAATTAAAATTGAGTTGTTTTGGCCTACTTTTAACAATATACATTTTAAAGTATTGATATAAATATGTAATAGAGCATGTTTTTATTTTGTAAAAATAAAGCAATTAAAAGTAGTCATTAAACACAGTTTTGCTGGATTGTGCATAGAGGAAAATCTGAAGCTGCAGTATGCCCTGTAATAAGCCACCTGCCTCAGGAAAGGCTATGCATTATATGATCACTGCATGCTTTTCAAGCCCAGGGTTTATCAGACGGTTATATTTTTAATCCTAGATAGACATTTAAAAAAAAAGATGTAAAAGCAGAATCTTGGGCCAATAGTAACATTTCTGTTTGTTGGTCATCTTCACCAGGGTCACTTTTAAAGCTCACACTGAAATGAGATGATTATTCTCTTTAAGTGGTTTTTAAAAAAAAAAAGCGTCTTTTTTGCTAAGCGTAGCATGTCACCAAGCATATTGATGGTATTAAAGAGAATCTATGTAAAGTTTGGAGTACAACTGATGAAGACAAATACATGTGAATTGCTTGCACTGTCAATTTTGAAACTTATCCATTTTCTTGTACCATGAAACTTGTAAATCACTCAGAAGGCTAGAAAGTTCTGGTTTTTTGTTTTTAAATTGGCTTCTAAAGTTTGGGAGAAATTGATCTAAGAAACTTTGTACTGCATTGAAAGTAAACTCTTAAAACAGTTGCAATAAGTTATCTGTTGTAGGTACTGTTCAGTGCAAGCTTCACTGTATTCTATAAACTAGTTTAAATATATTGCCTACAAACAATGTCGGGGGGTGTAGGGGATTGTTTTATGGAAGAGGGGACAGGGATGAAACCAGATGGAAGTGATGGCTGTGTGAGATGTAGCTGTCCTGCATTTACAGGAATAAAACAAGGCAGAGGCCCTGCTTCAAGGAATTTGCATTCCAGTATCTACACAGATTGTTACAGGGGGGGATGGGACTGCAGCCACCCCAAAATTTGCCATAGCCTCCCCAAACCCACTCCCAGCACTGCCACCACCCACCCCGAGTGCAGCCCCGGTCCCAGTCCCTCCCACCCTACCCCACGCAGATCCAGGGCCACATGCCCCCCTGCTCCCATGCCTTCCCAGCGTGCGCACAGCAGCAGGAGCCGCTCCCCCTTCCCCCCAGACAAGCTGCAGCTGTCTCATACCCTGCCCTACCCCAGCCCCACTTCCTCCCTCACTGCTACACCCCTTCCCTCTCCATCTCCCTCCCTCTCCACCCTCCCCACAAGAGACTTACCAGCTGCATGCAGTTCTCCAAGCTGCCGGGCTATGCTTGTCACTGCCTATGTGCTGCGCTGCAGCTGCATGCATGCAAGGGGCATTTATCAGCCACGTTATCGACCACATCAGGCTGATTTCCAATAGTCGATTTTCTTTATCTCGGTGTCGATCCGATGTCGGACCAAGGTATCAGTGCACCTCTAGCAGACATGGAATGTTATATTAGAGGGTATGTGTGGAGTCGAGAGCAGAAACTAGTATGATCCACTTAATAGGGCATTGGACTAGCCATCAGGAGGCATAGCTTCTGTTTTTGGCATGGTTCCTGATCTGTCTGACCTTCCCCCTAAATCCTTTGCAAATAAAATAAGTGAGGGTCCTTAGCTCTTTTTATAAACCATTTTAGGTCCATCGATTAAATAAAAGATGTTATTTAAAAAAAAAAGAAAGGACCAATTAAAGTGATGCTGGGCATAATTTCATTTTACTTGAACAACTTGGCCCCTGGTAAATAGTCTGAGAAGGTTACTACTTCCTCTTCAACTTCAATTCAGAGTTGAGAATTGAAATCCCGACTGACTTGAGATTAAGGTAACATGAAAGCTAATTTTCCTCATACCTTGAGATAATGCTTCTGGTGTCACTGTCCAGTAAGGCAGTTACTGGTAGCAGAAGAAATTCCAGGTGTAATCACAGCATTAAATGAACTTTACTGTTCTGTGAACTTCAGGATTTTGATGAGCCCCACAGGTGAAGCTATCCTGTAATGCAGCTGTGATCCTTTTCAGTGTAGAATATGTAATCACTAGGCAAAAGCATATGTCTGCTTTTAAGATAAACACTGTATTTTCTTGCATATCATACCTCCCTCCATAAGACATGTACCATGTGTTTGAAAGTCGGTAAGTATGATATTTTTTTCAGGGACAGCACAGGCAGCTACGGTTGAGCAAAAACCTGTGGCTTTTATGTGAATGCCCTAGTTGTCAGATGAGGCACACAGTGCTGTCTGCCCACCTAGCTTGAGAAGAGAAGAAAGGGCAAGTAGTTCAGCTCAGCCACCAGTACCTTGCAAGTCTACTGGGGGTCCAACCAGCCAGTGAGGAGAAGACTGGCTAGGCCAGAGGCAGGCAATTATTTTGGGTTGAGGGCCACTTAACAAGTTTTGGTGAGGTGTTGAGGGCGTCAAGGGGAGGGGCTACTCTTGCAAAGTGTCCCACCCCTGGTCACCATCATGGGACCAGAAGTCCTTCCCCATGCCCTTGGAAGTGCTCCTTTTGGGAAGAGGGTTTCCCATCTTGGAATGAGAAAAAAAGAATTGTGTGTCTGTGTGTACACACACGCACACAGGATCAAACACCCATAATATATTTTAATTTAATTTAAAAATATATATATTTTTGTCCTGATTTGTGTGGTTGTGCTGTATATGTAGAAGTGATTGCATAATAGCTCAAAATGCAGTCTTACCCTTGTATATTGTGTGGGGGGTGTGGGTGGGTGGGTGTGGGGTTTGTGGGGGCTTGTAGTGTGTGTGGAGGGAGAGGGTGGCTGGGGATTGTGTGTGTACATGTGTAGCGGGGTGTGTGCACATAGCAGTGAACAGGGTTCCCCCGAGAAACGTGTGGGTATGGTATTTGTGGAGTTGGTGATTGTGTATGGGAGCCCCCCTGCACGTGCCCCCCTGAGCCGGTCAGCCCTAGCCCACCCTGCACCCCACACCGCCCAGCTGTGGCATGTCCCACCAGTCCAGGGCATGCAGTGGTAGCAGTGGGGACCAGCGTGCGCAGCCACGCCCCACGCTGGCTCTGGGCTCATCCATCTGGGCTGAGCAGCAGCAGCTGGGCAGAAACTGTTGCTCGGCATTAGGGAAAGCAGGCCCAACCCACCACCCTTGCTGCCACCGGGTAGTTTTTTGGTGCAGCTGCCCAGACCATGTGTCATGCTGGGCTGCCCTGCGGCTCCCTCACCACCACTTCTGAGCCTCCCTGCAGTGGCTCTGCACTGTCACCGCTGCTGCTCTGGGCAATCCAGAGGAGCCACACCCCAGCCACTCTCCGGGCGACTGCACCAAAAACTGCCTAGTAGCAACAAGGGGGAGGGGCTGCTTTCCCCTGCACCAAGCAACAGTTTCTGCCCAGCTGCTGCTGCCACTGCTGCTCAGCCTGGATGGGCGAGCCCAAAGCTGGTGCTGGGGCCCAGGCTCAGCAAAGCTGGCGTGGGAGAGAAACTGCTGCTCAGCACAGACCACATGTGGCCCCTCCCCCTCCTGCTGCCGGTGCTTCCTGGTGCAGCCACTTGGAGCCCACATGGGGCTGCCCTGCATCTGTTCTGCATTGCCACCACTGCCCCGTGGAGCAGCCCAGAAGCAGCAATGACACTGCGGAGATGCAGGGCAGCCCTGTGTGGGCTCTGGGCAGCTGCACCAGGAAGCAGCAGGAGTGGGAAGGGCCACTTTTGCCCCATGCTGTCCCATGAAAGTGCTGCTCGGCCCAGACGGGCAAGCGTGGGGCACGCAGGGTTGGGGCTGTGCATACTGGTCCCCACCTGTACCATGGGCTGGGGGAGAGGAGGGGTGGCTGTGAGCGAGTGCGCAGGAGCACAGCAAGAGCTCAGTGGAAGTGTGGGGCCAGCGCCAGCAGGCCCCAGAGCAGGGTGGCAGGAGTGCAGGGTCTCAGCCGTCACAGGTTCTGTGGAACTGAGCTGTCTCCTCCCTCTCCCTGCTGGCACAGCTCAGCCTGCCACGTCGCTCTGGGCCACACTGGTGCTGGCCCCAGGACACCATGCACCTGCTTGCTCCCACCCCCTTGCTGTTGCTGTTTTCCCTACTTTTCTGCCTGCTGCTGCGGCGGGGCTCTGGCACCATGTGGCTCCCAGCTGCATGGCTGTGACCACAGGACTCGGCAGGAGCCAGCCTGGCCCCAGGGACTGGGGCAATTGCCTGCGGTCCTCCCCTGCCTCCCTCCTCCTTCCCCCGTTCTTCGCGTTCTTATCTGTATTTCGCTGTGGTGCAGGGAGGCTGGAACAGCCCCGCGGTTCCAGGCCAGAAGGCTCTGCTAGGCAGGGGCTTCTGGCCCTTGGCTCTTGCTATCTTTGGCAGGCAGCCAGGAGCAGATAAGTATTAATTTTCTAATTTTAGGGACTCTATGGGCCAGATAGAATGGCTTCGTGGGGTGGATCTGGCCCTTGGGCCATATTTTGCCCGCCCCTGGGCTAGGCAGTTCTGCTCCTGCAGGATCTGTTCTCAGCTGACTGCAGACTCTGCTGGCTGCCCACCCAGTTTGACTGGCAATCTAGCTCCTGCAGGATCTTTGCTCTCTTTCTTCTCTCATTTAAGATGGCACCCCTATTTTCCAGCAGCTAACTTTTGGTGTAGGAGGGGGGCAGTGTCATGTTAGGATATCATGTACTGGTGATTAAAGCAAAAATAACTTGTTTTTTCTCTTGCTCAGGAGGAGAAAAGCAGCGAGTTGCCATTGCAAGAGCAATGCTAAAGAATCCTCCTATCATACTGTATGATGAAGCAACATCATCTTTAGATTCTATTACAGAAGAGGTAAAGTAGGGTCAAGAACGTTAAAGCCTTTTCACTTCCATTATTGCATCTATTTTTGCCACCCTTCAACTTCCTTAGAAAAGTTCTTATCACTTAGCTTTTGTCTGACTACTCTTCTCTAATGCTGCTTCCTGGTGTTGTCAGTGTAGAGTGGTGAATTCCTCCAACTGAAGGCTGAGGGCTGAGATGCTGTTCCCCAGCCTACCTTGAGTGAGAGTCAGGAATGTCAGGCCTATAGCTGAATTGATTTCCTGTTTTACACTGTGACACCTTGTTGCAGCAGTAATCCTACATCATTTGTAATAGCCTTATGTACTTGTGAACTATAAAGCCCTAGTGTCCACTTTATATGGAGGCATTTGGTTGCCTTTAGCATTAATGAAAAATAAGTCGGGTAAATGACTGATGTAATGAAAAATAGAAAACCTTTTGTTTTGCTGTGGAGCATCTTGCTGGGATGCAAGTCAGGTATGTATAACCTGCAGTGCTCATATTAATTTATATTCATTTCACGGGAAGGGCTGGGAAACATCAGGATGTTGTGACACAGATGTCATGACACTACCACAGCAACTGCATCAGATTTCATAACCACATCTTTGCATTCAATACAAAAATCTCAGCACTAAGAGTAATTTCATGAACTAACCTCACCTAAAACTAGAGCTAAGTGCATTTTTGCAGATTGTCTCTACTTGTGCATAGTATTTGGCATACTTACTGACCTCTGATCACTACATTGCTTGTATTTTACAGTTGCATACTGGCTACTTCTCTTTACCAGAGTATCATATAAATAAAATAACAATCCACCTGTCTGGAGTAAACTCTTTTTTTGGACTAGTGATTTAGTTATTTATAACATACTTCTGGAGAGTGCTGCTTTATTTTCTCTCCCTCCTCATTTTGCTATATTTATTACATGGTTTTCAAGCAAAGCTGCAAGTTTGCCCAAAACAGCTGTACTTTAAAGGTAGCAAATAAAATGAGTCCATTATAGAAATGTGTATCATATAGTCAAAATGTGTTTTTTGACAAAGGCGAGCTTTCTTTAAGGATGACAAAATGTAAATCCCAGGTTGTGCAGTCAACATCCAGCCTCCTAAAAAGCACTATTTGTGCTTGATGAATATGTTCTGGAAAGTGAAAAAGTAGTTGTGTGGTGTAGATATGAAATTTATTTCAGAGCTGTTCTAATTTTGAGGATGTTAGTTTCCCATTTGCCAAGCCTTAGCTTTTCTTTACTATCCTGTGAGCCGGTTAAACATGCTCACTTTTTTGTCACTGCTAGCACCACTGTTTCTTGCTCAGCCAAATTACAAAAGTGTTTTTTCAATACAATCAAACACCTCAGTTCCTTCATCCTCTTGCTTCTCTGTGAATTGAACCCCTCTTGGCTTCCCTTGGAATTGTAAAGAATTAGTCATGTCTTATTTCTTGGCTCTCTCTGTGATCTTCCATAAATTTCATAGTTCTCTTTTGGGGGCTTTGGCACTACTGAATGCTTTCTTCTGCATTGTTTGACATGTTAAATGACCTGATTTTAGTTCCTCTTAAATGGATACAATATATGTGTGTGCACATACATCGACACTTTTCATCTTACAGAACATTCTGAATGCCATGAGGGACATAGTGAAGCACAGAACATCTGTTTTCATTGCCCACAGATTGTCAACAGTAGTGGATGCAGATGAAATCATTGTCCTGAATCAGGTGAGATCATCATCCTCTGAAGTTGTACTTTGATATGTCTGTGTCTGTTAGTGATTTTGTATGTGTGTGTTAAAATCTAGCACAATTCTGCCTTTATATAGATCATTGGTTCTCAATGTATTTTGTACCAGAACCTATTTGTAAAGATCAATGACCAGTCCCAACCCAGTAAATAGTTTAAGTAGAAAGCAGCCCCCTGGCCCTGCCGGCACCCTTCACTCCTAACTCTGCCCCCAGCTCCCAGTGTGTGAGGCAGGGGCGGGTGTGTGTTGAGCATGGGGGGGGCTCCAAGTAGCCCCTTGCAGGCTGGAACTCTACCAGCCTGCAAGGGAAAACCCATGGTTTCCCATACTTTTCTCCTTTAAAGGAGAATCTATTTTTAAAGTTTGTTTATGACTCTCGTATATTCTTGCAACCCATTTTGGGTTGCAACCCACGATTTGAGAAATGCTGATATAGCTCCCTTTGCAACAACTACAGTTTATCAGTGACAAAATATATATGCATACACGTGTGTGTGTGATGTTTAATTACAGGTATTTTTAAATAGGTTACAAGGTTTTCTGGAATGGTCTGGTCTTGGGTTTAGGGCAGGGGTGCTCAACCTCCAACCTGAAGGCCAAATGCAGCCTGCAGAGCTATAGCATCTGGTCCACAGAGTTCCTCACAAGTCAGGAAATTTGGCAGTGGAGGAGTAGTGGTGATTTCCATATTTACTTGAATGTAAGATTGCTCTGAATACAAGACAACCCCTGAATACAGTTCTGTATATGGAAAATTAATAAATTTGTTATAATTTTCCAGGTTTAGGATCTAATTATTGGAAGTTTGCCTTGAATTTGTCCCCCTCCTGCTCCTATAGCAGGGAAAATAAATCTGGGAAAGGGTCAGGTAACCCCTTTGTTATGCCATATAGTTCACTGGGCTAGGCCCCAGCAGAGTCCACAGGATTTCAAGCCATGGTGACCCCATAGCTCAGCACATTTATGTGTACTCCAAATACCTCCTACAGAAGATCCATGAGCTAATTAGCCTCCCACTCGTGACTGGAACCAGGTGTTCTTGTCACAGGTCCTGGGATCCTCCAAAAATTTATATGCAGATGAGGTGCAGGGTGAACTGGTCCAGCTCCACCTCCAGAGCATGGGACTACACTAATCATACGTAACAGGCTGAGCAAGGGGGCAGCAGAGGGATTTTACGTAAACTGTTTGAGGCCTTGTTTGGTGATCTTTGCCAGATGTTTAGGGCTGGTGAAGAAATGGGAGAGAATGTCACAGCTCAGCTGTGGGAGTGAAGAGGAAGTAAATATGTATGCAGTGTAGTGGCTCACCATAATTTGTAAAAGTCAGCACTGAGGGGCACTGTGTTCAGTGTGCACTACCATGCGCCTTATCCAGATGGGCTGTGCTAATTAATCTCTTTGTGGTAGGTTCCCATCAGAATGTTTGTCCAGTATGAGACATGTGTTTTATAGTCATACTTGGTGTTGGCTGCATTTAATCATCTTCATAGTTTGTTTCCATTACTGAGTGCAGGCACCAGTATATTTAATAAGGTTTTCTCGTATGCAAGTATAAAATGTGGGGCTTTTTCCCTCTTGCTGAGTGCGGGGGATGGGGTGGGGAACGGGGGTGGACCTTGTCTTCTATTTGGGTAAATATGGCAACACTGCCACCTCTCCCCTGCTGCCAAGTTCCAAAGCCATGCCTCATTCCCCCTATGCAGCTGGATCAGCACTGGGCCACAGCCCTCCACAAATCTCTGCAGATGAGTTGGGCCCCTCTGTATCCACCCCATTTGCCAAATTGAGCCCACCAGCCCAGGATGGACCTGGCACTGCCCATGTGGTGTGTGGGGCCAAAAGGTTGAGCACCGCTGGTTTAGGGTGTTGCACGTTTTTTCTTAATTTATTATGGAGTTCTGTCAGTGTGCATTTCCAATATGCACACCTTTATTATACTTCATTTTTACCAGTGAGTGGCCATTTTTCAAATATCCGTTGTTTCTCTCTCAATAGAAAAGAGGACAGCATGCTTTGGCATGTCTGCAAATAAATTGTTGCATGATTATTCAATCTAATTATGTTAGGAATCTGAGCACCGTTTTTTACTGTAGCTCTAGAAAAGTGTAATTATCCTTACTTATATTTCTCCCCTTCCCTCCCAAGGAAGACCTTTCAGTATTTAATTGATTTATATCACTGTTTAGGTATCACCTCATGCTGTCTGTTCTAAGTTGGCATTCTTTCTGTTAAATCTTGGGAACGGAGTTAAATTAGTTTTAAGTTTTTTCTTTTTTTTAAAAGGTTGGTAAGTTCATCAATATTAATTACTTTAGCTTACATGTTATGGATCTTAGATTTAACACTGTAATTAGTTCTCTTTAATTGCTACTCTTGTGCTCATAATCCTAGAAATCTTGACTGAACTATAACTAGAAGAAAAGCAGACAAGATTTTGGGTGGGTACAACAAATGGTGATGCAGGACTTTCTTAAAGGAATTTTCAGAGCAATGGTATCTGAATATCATTGAGTTTCACATGGAAGAAACAAAAGACACAAAATTAAATAGCCTAAATTTCCTGCCATTTTCAGCTTTCGTTAAACATTTAAATAGTATATATTTCATGGTCGGGACCTTTTTTATAATTGTACTTTATTACAATATCCTGTATGGGTTTTACATATATAATAAATCTATAGAAAATACAGTTCAGGACAGCACAGTGTTTTGAATTGTTGAATTTAAAGATGCACAAAATTAAACCAGTAACTTAGTAACAGCAGAACAGCTGTGAAGCTCAGGTTCATAAGATGTGTTGCTTTCCACCCAATGATATGCTCAGTCAGACAATAAGTTGCGTCCTGCCCTGCCAGCTGGCTGGTTCATGAAGCCTTGTTACTTCTTGCTCTGTGAAAGTTGCTTGTTTACCCCTGCTGTACCCTTCAGGCTATTAAGAGAGCCAGTTAAAGAAGCATCAAGAATGGTGGAGGGACTGGGAAACTATACAGCTACTTTTGCTTAGTGATGTACGTATTATTTCACAGGTTTAGGATTTTTCTTATGTATTAAAAATCAAAATAACTCTTGCACCAGTAAGTGGACAAGCCCCTTATTAATGATATTGAGGTCAGTGCTTCAAAGCTAGGTGAAGATGATGGAATTGTTTTCAAGGACTGAAAAGGTTCCTTGAAACAGTTTTGTTTCCAGAGCCCAGCAGAGTGAGCTCTGTGAATTAATCACTTGGAATTTTACAAAATTCCATAGTTAAGTTGGCAAAGTGCATCTTTGTTAACATTTTGCCAGCATGAGGAGTAATAAAAGTGACAAGACCCAATTTTGTTTCCCAGCATGTTCATCAGCAGCTGTCACAAGGAGGTAAATTTAACTGTAGATCAGAGTTTGGAACTAATACAAAATCTATGCAGTTGTGCATATAAATGCCAACTTTTCCCAAAATGACCTGTAAGAACAGCAAGAGAAAACAAATATATCCTTTTCTTTTGAAGCTAGTGTAAATATGTCTCTTACACAGTTCTCTATAAAAAAAAAAAAAAAAAGGTAGTTTGGTTGTCTGTAGTTCTTAGAGACGATTCAGAAGACAGTTTTCTAACCCACATTGAATACAGGATGCAGCTAGATGCTGTATGGTCTTAATACTGCTTTGGAAAGTGCAATCACGAACTGGGGACTTTTAAACACATGAGTTCACCAATTTAACTTGATCATGTTAATTCTGGTTTAACTATGGATCTCTCTGTAGCTATTTTTATTTGGGGCTTAAGAGTGGCTTTTAGGTTCCTAAAACTGTTCCTAATCAACTTAAGCTAAGCCAGTATATATGACTTACTCATTCTGGCACATCCATGTGGGCTATACTCTACAGGAATAATAGTAACAACACCTAGCAGTTATATGTAGCACTAACCTATTCTAAATAGCATGTTAGTAGTATTTTAAACTTGGCAGGCAGACAAGTTTTAAGTTTTGTCTCACTGAGACCCTGGTCGGAATTCAGTTTTCAGAACTAGAGAGCACTCCAGAACTGTTTAACACAGGGGCAGGCAATTATTTCAGCTGGAGGGCCGTTCAATGAGTTTTGGTGAGCTGTTGAGGGCTACATTGGTAGCCCTGCCCCTTGACTGTTGCCTCACCCCCCACCCCCACTCCCTGGTCATCATATTGGGACTGGAAGTCCCACCCCTAGCCCCTGACCTTTGCCACCAAAAGTCCCTCCACTTGTCCCCCTGGAAATACTCCTTTTGGAGGGAAGGGTTGCCATCTTAGAACCAGAAAAAAACACATATACTAAAGGTCAAATATCTACTATAACATATTTTGATTTTATTGCACAAAATATTTGTCATGATTTGTGTTTGCATACTGTATATAGAGGGGATTGCATAATAACTCAAAAATAAAGCCTTGGGCTGTGAGGGGGTGTGGCTGTGTGGGGCGGGGGGCCTAGGGTATGTTGGGCAGGTGTGTATATGTGGGGCAGTTGTGAGGGCAGAGTATGGGTGTGAGAGGTTAGGAGGGTGCGGTGGCCCCCCACACACTCCCCCACGTGGCGCAAACCTCCTGCTGCGGGCAGCAGCAGCGGTCAGGGGCGCATGTGCCACCTGGATGTGTGTGGCTCTGTCCAGTGCTGCACATGGGGCCGAGGAATTCAGCCTGCCCAGCCTGCCTTTATTGTGGGGGCTCCGCGCAGCACGCCTGCAGCTCTGATACTCATGCAGCACCAGGGGAAGCCCCATGCTGGAGCAGACTACCTTCTCTGCCTCCTGCTGCACAAGTCCCAGCACTCTGCCAGGACTGGAGGGAGCCCTGTGTGGCGGGCCAGTAGGGAGTGCTCCTGTGCTGAGCCACCCACCTCGCTACCCGACCACCTTCCAGGCTCCAAGTGCCTCCCTGGGGGCGCCTCACATCTGGCCAGCCCCCTTCCTGGAGCAAACCTGCTAGCCTGGGTAACACTACCACCACCCAGGGTCTGGAGTGATCCTGGCTCTGTGCCCCCTGGGAAATGCAAGCCTGAAGAACAAATAGTGGTCTCCTTTAGTCAGCCAAACCCAGGGGACCCCAAGGTATAATCTAGACACACTCCCAATAAGTCTCCCATGCTAGGTATGAAGGAGAACTTTATTGGTTACAAGGAGTAGGTTCGGAATAGGGTAGAGGGTTGAGCAATATCAGAAATCCCATAGAGCAAACTGGCATGGCTGGGTAGCTTTTGATCACGTCTCTGAGATCTCAGGTATCTTACTCACAAGTATTATCCAGAGGCAGGTGGAGATTCCCTCTGGAGGTAGGCAGTTCATTGATCATGAGTTTCAACAGAGAGAGCAAGTTTCAGATGGTCTAGCTCTTCTCTGAGTTTTCATCATGGCTACTGCGCCTCCTCCTGGGCAGTCCTTAACTTATATAGACCTTATGACCTCATTTACCTGGTCCAGTGGAGGCCAGCACCTGTTGGCTGCCAGCCAACCAATTTGAAATGCATCACTGGTTGCCGGGTAGACTGGTAGAGTCTCTAGCCCCTTCCCAGTCAGGTTGGCATTAGCTTAGAATAATAGGGAGTGTAAGCCCCTCACCCAGGTATGTGATGTCAGTCAGGTAGGCAGAGGGAGCAGGTTTCCCCCCTCCCTCAGGAATGTATCCAGCTCAGGTTACAACTCAGTGTTACCTGAGAGAGGGATGTCTGCCCTCTGCAGGGACCATGTTAACCAAATTGTCACATAGAGTTTTTGGGGAGAGACGGAGGTGGCATTCTGCCACACCCTGCTTCCCCACAAAGTCCTGGGACCTGCACAGCAGGGGGCAGCAAAGGCAGCCAGTTCCAGGACGAGGCTTTCCGTGGTGCTGCGTGTGTGGGGGAGCTGCAGGCATGCCACGCTGTGCAGTGCGGAGCCCCCATGATAAAAGCAGGCTGGGCAGGCAGCATTCCTTGCCCCCATGCGCAGCAGTGGACAGAGCCCCATGTTGCCAGGTGCCAGCACGGGGCACAAGCACCCCTGCCTACTGCCGCTGTCAGCAAGGGGTTCACACCATGTGGGGAAGTGTGGGGGGTACCCCTCCCACCCTCCCTCACCCGCACCCTGCCCACCCAAGCTCTGCACTCCTGCCACTCCCTGGGCATGGGCTCTATGCTGCTGCCAGCCCCATACTGCCTGCCCTAACCCAGCTGCAGCTACACCCTGCCCTTGCCACTTCCTTACCTGCTCCCCTGAGCAAGCAGGATGCCAGGGAAGCCAAGCCAAGCAGGTCCCCCTGGGCTGGAAGCTGCAGCTGGCTGGGCCAGGCTCTTCTGCCCACAAGGGTGGGAGTGAGGTGCAATAGGGTTTGTTGGGGGGGTATACTTGGGTGCCTTGCTCCCACCCTCATGAGCGGAAGGGCTGGGCAGGGTACATTTCGTTGGTGAGTGCCTACGGGGCAGATGAAAGTGCCTGGCGGGCTGGATGCAGCCTGTAGGCCATATTTTGCCCAGCCCTGGTTTAACATGAAGTGTGGCCTACAGGTAGTCTGTCACCAAATGCCATTACTCATTTATTACAGCCCATGTCTCCATGGGTTTCACCCCTTTATTAAAGATGGGGATTGTCAAGAACCACACTGTAAGACTCTGGGCCATGCTGTCCTTATGCTCAAAAGATCTGGTAGGATTTAATCTCTAACTTTTTATATTTTACAGGGTAAAGTTGCTGAACGTGGTAACCATTTTGATCTTCTCACCAGTCCCAGCAGTCTCTACTATGAAATGTGGCACACACAGAGCAGCAAAATACAGACTAGCAATAATAACCAGAAATGGGAAAAGCAAAATAACTATATGTCCAAAGAGGAGGAAAGGAAGAAACTACAAGAAGAAATTATCAATAGTGTAAAAGGCTGTGGAAACTGCTCATGCTAAATGTGGTGCAGGAATAATTTTCTACAACAGGTTAAATGGCGACTTAATATTGCACTGAAGCACAGCTCTTGTTTTAAAAATCAAATCATTCATACAGTTCCTGGTTTTGTTTTATTTTTACAGTTTCTCAGTGAAGCATAATGTTAACCAAAGGATTTTTATTTCCACATTTTTGAGAATCTCTAATATTTATTAAGATCTGCAAGAGCCGAACTTTTTTGAAATCTCAACTTATTGCTAATTAACAATGTATATTTTTATGGCAGTTTCAGACATTTGTACATTTCACTGGCAACCACTTGTCAGATGACTTCTACTGTTTCACGTGGCAAAGATTGGATTCCCCAAGATGTATTATTATTGGACTCCCCCCCACGATGTATTATTAAGTGGTACACAGGCTTGTTCTTAGCCTATATTATTTTTCAACATTGATGGTTGGTAACAATGTTTTATATTTTTAATGTAATTCAGTTAACTTGAATATATTCGCTAATGAATAAGGTGTAATTTAAGTTCTTAAATGTCTGTCTGGTTTGGAATAATTTGCTTCTTTTTTAAAAATCAACAAGGCCAAAAAACCCCCAAAAAACAACAACCTCTGATTGCAGAGTCAAGACTGGAACCGCTCCGCTTACTCCTTTGAAATAACTTTTGTACTTGCCTCTCTAGAAAACATCAAAGCATTCCTTTTAAAGGTGAGCTAAATGTATTTTTAAAAACTGGATGCAATTCTAAATTAAGAAACTATAATGTTGATTTCATTTACCAATAAATGTTGTAAAGCAAAATATTAGAATTACAAAGCTTCTCCACTACTTACCTGCCAAATGTATAGTTCAAGAGTCTGTGTCCTTGGCATCTGCTAGAATACCTAAACAGAATGCAGTCATCTACTTCATTTCAGGCATGGATAAGTGAAACCAGCGTGTAAAGGAATGATGCATTTAATCATTTGCATGAGTGTCTGAGAAATGGACCTAAGTGTTGTTCTGCCAGTTGCTCCAGTGGGCTTCTAAACCCAAGGTCCACACCTGTGAGGTGCTGAAAAATTTCAGATCCCCATGCAACTTGTAGGATTTCATTGGCCTCTGGTTATAGGTCCTGCCTTGGGGAAAACTCCTGAAAGCTTTGGCTTTCACTAATTTTGGATGCTCAGGTCCCACTTGCCTTTTGAAGCAACTGGGAGCCTAAGGTCCTCTGAAAAATCAGATGCAGGATGCTATAGGACTGACATTTTGGAAAATTAAGCACTCCAATCAGTGAATATCTCTGAAGATTGGACTACAGATTGAATTTGTTGGGGGGCAGGCAGGGGTGTAGTATCTTTTTAATTTAGCTGAATTTATCATCAGCTATTGATGAAAATGTGCCAATTTAAATTAGAAGTTGAGCTTTAAATTTCTTTCATTTTTGCTAGTCTATTGTTCTCTGTAATTGTGGAAGGATAAAGTAATCCATGCCAGTAACCCCCCCAGTTAAGAATGATTGTAAAGAGTACATCAAAGTGCAAGGATTTTTTATGGCATTCATATTTTGTTGTGTTAAGGCAAAATAAAATCTTGCTAATGTCTGGTGACAGTTCAGAATTATTTCTGTTTAGGGTCTTCTTTTTATTTTCCCTAATTGAATACGTCTCTTTTAAATTTGTCACAACAGCACAGTGACCACAAAAATAGTATCATCTTTAACTGCCAAAAACAATTAGCAAAATGCTGATAAAAGCCCCTTTGGAGACTTTTCTCCCCGTTTTCCTAAATCAAATTAATTTTTTTCCTTTAGTATTGAAAGAAAAATGCAGTTGAATTAATTTCTTTATACCTACTGCTGTATATGCCAAGTGGTATACGAAAATTGTGTTTAGTAGCATTTCAATCTTAAACATGGTTTCCTTTGACACGTTACTTGAGCATTACAAGTTTTAGAAATTAGTGCTACATGAACAACACAAAATATCGAGATATGTTTTTCTCAATGGAGAGTTGTCCACCTATTGCCTGACTTATCAACTGTAGTTGTTGCTGAATGACAGATCTAACGCTACTCTCGTGTTATAGTTGATTTGAAAGCAATACTGATTTCGATGCTGGAATATTATGATGTAGGAAACATGCTTTTGCAACTGAGTAAATGCAGAAGTAAAGTTTATGCAGTTAATTACTATAAGGGTTTTTTTGGTTTTTGCATGTAGTGTACAGTGAGTGTCATTACTGTTGCAGGAGAGGGAAGATCTTTTTTCAGCCACAAGTAACATGAACACAGCTAATTTTTTTCAAGGGTTTGGTGCCGAAGTGTGCTGGTTGGCACCTTCTAAAGATTTTATCTCAAAAATAAATGCTTGTGTGTGTCATCATTGATTAAAACTAATGGGGTGAGGGCAGAGTGAGGGTTAATTGAAGGTCTCTCCATAACGTAAATAACTGCTCAAAAAATATGTGTAGGAAACAACATTTGGCTGTGGAACTGAAATGACCTTGTGGGCAGTGTTTCTCCACTTTTGAGGTGTCACACTTTTCCATGCTGCAGACTCTAGATAAACATTGCAGTACTATTTGCATTTGTATTTGAATGTTCATCCTGCTTTTTTGTCTGATTCCTTGGCTCGCTTTACACATCACTACTGTAACTTTAGAAGCAGAACATAGAAGATGGAAGGAAGTTTCTATGGTTAGTAATAAGATGATAATTTTTCCGTGCCATGTGCCTCTTCCTGTAGTTGAAGAGGAAGCACCTCTTCCAGCTGGTGGAAATGAAGGGTTACAGATGGACTTAGTTTTGCAGCTGCCCCTATTTTGCATTATGGTAACAAACAGGTGCGAGACCAAAATAACAAGTAGGACATCTTGCCCTATCAGCAGGCATCCTCAGACTAGTAGTAGCTCTTCACCTAGTGAACCTCTTGTTCGCTTAGAAGGGAAAATTTTGGCTCTGACTATGTTAAGATTTGGTTTGTGTTCATGTGCCACAGCTTCTGCTTAGACCAGTCTGTGCGAACATTTTAATGTTCATGCTAATCTAGAGAATCATAGCTTTGGAGGACTTGAATAAAAATAGAGACACCAACTTCTGAGACTGCAGAGGGGAAGTTCTGCTAAAATCCAGAAGTTATTACATCACTCTTTCTGAACTGTAATTTTTCTATAATGCTTGAAAGTCTCTTTGACCAGTGACATGCTTCTGGTCCAAATTAAACCAGTTCACCACAATTTATGATGTTGTAGTGAAGCCTGGATTAAATCTTTATTTACACTTTCTTGTTCCTGGAAGAACTTCAACCTCTCGTTATTTCTGTACATGTATATTTATTTGAGATAGGGCTTTAGTTTAAAACAGCTGCTGCTTCACTGAATATTGTCCTTAACAGCTTTAAACATTTCAAATGTAGGTATGTATTCTTAATTCCAAGGGGGGAAAAAACTTGTGAAAAAAGCATATCAGGATAAGTAAAGAAAATGGCTTGAGCTACTATTCTAATATGAGTTCACAACGCTGGGCTTTTTGCAAATGTGAATGTAGAATTCGCTATTGCAGATGCCCTTTATAGTGTTGCCCCTGGCTGCACAGTTATGGCTCAACACTTATGATGTATACAATTCATGAAATCTAGATTTTAAATTATGTCAAGGTTTCTTTTCAGGATGGGAATGTAAATTGTACAGTAAAGGCAACTAGTGTCCAAAAAAATGCGTTTAAAATCATGTTGTGTAAACATTCAGCTGGAGAGACTTCTTACCATGACTCCGTTGTTAAGCTGTGTATAGATAATTATTACTAAATAAAGGATTTATCTCTTTGTGAATAGAAATGGGTGTCCTGTTGAAATGACTCTTCCAGTTTAACAGCAGTTCCCAGGGGAAACAGATATTTTGTCAGTCACATGCACAGAATAAGAATAGTGATGATTTTAATAGCAGCTATGGGAATATCGCTCTGTATCCACCCAAACGAGAAAGCATTGAATTGTTTTGTAGCAAAAGTAATTGTTTGCAGTGCTTACTAGTGTCAGTGAAGTTGATAACAAATTATAGTGCTTTGGGTTAGCATTAGGCAATCAAACTTCAGATGATCAATCAGAGGAAGATAAATTCATATTATATGCCCAAATTCTAGTTCCCCGCCCCTCCTGCCCCCAAACACACTTTTGGTTATTATTAGAAAGGTGATAAATATTTGTTTAGCTCCAAAAGCACGTTTGAAGAGCATTCAGATTATCTACATGGTATTAAAGCATTTTCATGTTCTTAGTAAAGCTTAAATGTCTTTAGTTTAGAATATTGCTTGTAGTTATTTCTTACATACTGATACAATAGCCTTCCCTGCCCCATCTCAACCCCAGCACTCGCTTGTATAGTTTACAGGAGCCATGTAGCGGAATAACTCGACTCATTCCTGAAACTAAATTTCAGTCTCTGTAATTTTAGTATTTCCTTTTGAAACCAGAAGTGTGAAGGACATTTAATGCAACCCCACTTGTGATAGTTTAATGATGCAATATATGGGGCTCATTTAAACTGCAGTAGCTGTAGCTCATGTTATCACATCATTATATAGCTAGGGTGTTTAACCATTGTATTGTAGGGAGTGCTGTATTACTGGAGTGAAAGAGAGATCCTGGAACAGATTGTTTCCTATTTGAGTCTGATAGGAACCTCCAGCTGTTGTTTCTAGAGCTTCATTTTCCACATCTTTCACTCTTAATGATATTATGCAGGACTGTTCTATAGATGCTGACTGACAAAATGCCGCCATTGAATGTTTTTAGGGAATGAGTTCAAATAGGATGATATTTTTTTCTCTCTCCACATGTGCACGTAACTTTCATTAATTGTAATTTGAGTTGCATGTGTGCAGCAAAGAAAACAGTAATTAAAGATCGTAAACTGCTGGATTTTTACATAAATTAAGGATTGTTTTGGGGTTACCACACTTCTCATTTAGAATCCCATCTGTATTTGAACAATGGTCTCAGGAGTGACAGCTTGGTGCTTTGTTGATTGGCTCCTATTCCCCAGTGGAAAAAAAAACCCAGTGTCCTTCACATTCAATTCATCAGGTAGCATTTTGGTCCAGTGGAGCTTCTGAAAGTCCAAATACTTTTGTTTTTTCTTACCCATTCTCCTGGAGGTTATGATTGAGGCTGTGCACACAGATTTCCCTAGGAGTCTGACAGCCAGTGGGGTCTGTATCTTTGTTGCTCGCTATTAGAAAAGTCCACTGTTTTGCAGAGGAGTGGGAATTTTCCTTACAAAAGCTATTAAGTACAGTCAACCTGAGTAGATTCAGCAGAACAACTATGTGAAGGCCTACCACAAAGTGCCACCAAAATATGATGGCAAAATATTACAGCACTGAGAAGCTTATAATACTGATGCTCTGATCACTGGCAGTAATTCATCACTTCTTGTCATTGTGCTCATGTAAGATTAAAAAAAAAAGTTGCAGGTTTTTTTTTAAGATGCACATACACCTCAGCCCTGAATGATGTTAAAGAAGAAACAGCTTAATGTAATGTAATGTACTGTCACCTCCATCTTTGGAAAGGTCTTTGAAAAGATTATGAAGGACCATGTCTGTGGGAGTCCAGCAGGAAAAATGATGTAGCAGGGCAACCAGTCCATGGTGGACTCCAAGATGCACATGAGTCTTCAGTGTGACCATCATCAGCGAAGCTAACCGCACTTTATCATGCATCATCAGCAGATGTACGACAAACAGAACCAAGGAGGTGACACTTCCCCTCTGTGCAGTGTTGGTTAGACCGCAGTTGAGAGAGATTTGAGCAAGGAACAATGGTCACAAACTGACAGAGAGAAGATTTAGGCTAGATATTAGGAAAAACTTCTTCATGGTAAGGGTGGCCAGAATTTGGAATGGGCTTCCAAGGGAGGTGGTGCTGTCTCCTACCTTGGGGGTCTTTGAGAGAAGGCTAGATAGGTCATCTGACCCCAGCACTTTTTTCTGCCTAGGCAGGGGGTCGGACTCAATCTGTTGAGGTCCCTTCTGACCCTACTATCTATGAATAATGTAATGTGTTGACCAATTTCAACAGTGGAGGGATAACCACTAATTCATATGTTAGACAGTCTGGCAATAATCTGCAAAAAGATACAAGTCTTTTGCTCAGAAAGACAACAGGGTCTGCCTTAATTCTAGAGATGAGGCTCTTCCAGCTAAGTTTGTCCATTTAAACAACAGGTGATTGGTTATTGTAAGCACTGATAGCTTGTATGGTCCAACAGAGCCCAGCAGAGAGAGTGGCAGACTCTTCTAATGCAAGGCCCTGTATGGAAGACAAGACCCTATATTGGTCAATGTTTTATTTGCAACTGAAAACAAATAGAAAGCCTGCATATTGCTGTCCAGGCCACCCAGCAAGGAGGGGGCTGCCTTCTGTGCTAGTCAGAGCTTCACCGGCGTTTTCCAAATGGTCTTCAAGATGAGGCCTGTGCAGGTCATGAATGGATGTTTGTGAGACCTAATACGTGCGAAAGTTGGACACTAGTAGGACTTGTTTGAGCCGTTACAGAAATCTTGTTTCTAGAGATTGTGTATAAGCTTCTCGCAAAGAACT